GGCAAGACCAAACTTTGTTATTTGCTTGTAATTAACTGGTTTAGTTACCCCTTTTTGGAGACGTGTGCGTGAAGCAACAGGAGGCGCAACATATATATCCGGCGCAGTAGATCCCCCGATGGCGCCCCCTGCCCCGGCCACCTCGTCATCACGCAGGGTAGACGGATCGTCTGCGGCATCGGGAGCGGGAGGTGGTACGGGCGAAACGGTTCGTGGCGCAGAAGATCCACGATGGAGCAGCACGTCCGGCTCAGGCCCATCATGCAGCAATGATGAGGCGGGCCCGGCCAAATCCGCGTCGGATCGCGCGTCTGGGGCCACATCAGGAGACCGGCCCGAATCAACGTCGGGGGCCGCGTCTGGCGCCAGGTGACGAGGCTGTGCGCCAATCGACTGGCGGCGCTCGTAGTGAAGGGGCCCAGCGGGGGCCCGGCGACTCTCGGTGCGCCGCGCGGGGGCGTCCGAGTGGTGCGGGCCGGAGGGAGCCCCTGAGCCAGTGGCGAGGCGCGACGTGGTAGGCGCGGAGGCGGGGCTGCGCCGCTCGCCAGACGAGGCGGGATCCCGCGCCCTGTCAGTCTGGGACGGCCCAGATTCCGAGGGCGATCCGCTGCCAGCCTGCAGGGGAATCAATCCCGAGGAGGATCTGCTCCCCAAACGTGGACACATAAAATGTGGCATGTTGGGAGCGTTTTCTTCATTGTTTTTGTCGATTTCTGCACCATTTTCTTCAGAGTTTGCATCATCTGCATCATCACAAAACTCATGGAAGTGGTTATGAGCATTAGTCAACATTGAGTCGCTACAATTATTTTCCCCTTGGGTGATGCCGGTGAGACTAGAAGGCAAGAGAAGAATTTCTTTGCGAAGTAGGGCTCCGGCATTGGGGTGTAGGTCGGAAAAAGGGAACTTTGTCTCGTCAAAGACAACGTCCCGAGAGATATAAATGCGACCAGTAGAAACATCGAGGCACTTTACACCTTTGTGTTGAGCACTATAGCCTAGGAAGACGCACTGTTTGGAGCGAAACATGAGCTTGTGAGAGTTGTAGGAACGAAGATTGGGCCAACAGGCGCAACCAAACACTCGAAGAATAGTGTAGTCGGGTTTGGTATGAAGGAGACGCTCAATAGGAGTTTCATAGTTGATGACACGACTAGGTAGCATGTTGATGATGTGAACAGCCGCAAGGAAAGCCTCATCCCAAAACTTGAGGGGCATAGAGGCACCAGCAAGTAATGCTAGACCAACTTCAACGATGTGTCTGTGCTTGCGTTCAGCAGACCCGTTTTGTTGGTGAGCATGTGGGCAAGATACATGATGAGATATGCCAATTTTCTGAAAGAAAGAATTTAACTTTTCATATTCTCCACCCCAGTCAGATTGGAGAGCAAGAATTTTGCAATCAAATTGGCGCTCAACAAGAGCTTGGAAGTTCAGAAAGACTTGAAACACATCGGATCGCTTCTTAAGAAGGTAAATCCAGGAAAATTTGCTATAGTCGTCTATGAAACTCACATAATACGTGTGTCTACCAACAGAAGAGGGGGCAGGACCCCACACATCGAAGAAGACAAGTTGCAAAGGTTTTGTAGAAATGCTGGTAGAAACTGGATAAGGTAATTGATGGCTTTTAGCCTTTTGACATGAATCACAAACTGTTTCGACATCCCGCTCTCCAACATATGGGAGCTTATTTTTCCTAAGCAAACGCTCAACTAAAGAAAAAGATGCATGCCCTAAACGATCGTGCCATCGTGTTGAAGACACTTCAGTGGCACTAAAAACTTGTTTATTGAGTCTTCTAATCTCCGGAATCAAAGGGTAGAGCCCACGAACGCATCTACCTCGATAAAGCACCTTCTTCGTTGCCTGATCCTTGATCAAAAAGAAATGAGGGTGAAATTCAAGAAAGACATGATTGTCAATAGCAATACGATGGACTGAAAGAAGACTCTTTGAGGCGCTAGGGACATGCAAAAATTTTCTAAGGTGAATTTTTCGATGAGGGGTTTTAACAATTGAGTGACCAACATGACTAATTTTCATACCTTCTCCACTTGCAGTGTGGATGTGATCTTTGCCACGGTACTTCTCACGCATGGTCACCTTCTCCAGCTCACCGGTGATGTGGTTTGTGGCGCCGCTGTCGACGTACCAATTTGTGTCGACGCCGTAAGAGCCATCAGCAGCTCCGGCCACCTTCTCATCCTGAGATGAGTCATCTTCATCCTCCTCAAAATGATACCAGCAGTCCTTTGCCGAGTGACCCGGCTTGCCACAGATTTGGCACCTGATGTCGGGGCGTGATCTGTTGTTGGAGCTGCTGTTGCGGCGGCCTTTGTTGTTGGAGGAGGGAGGCCGGCCGCCGCGCGTGTTGGTAGCGCCGCTGCTGTTGCTGTTGTGGGCGCTCCTGCCCTTTCCGTTCCGCGGTGGACCGCGGTAACGAGAGCCCCCGCCACGGCCGCGGGTGGCAACATTGGCAGATGACTTGAAGCCACCTCCCGCGCCTTGGAAAAGAGCCATCCTCTGATCAAAATTGCTCATCTGTCCGAACAATTCGTCGAGGGTGACCGGAGTGGTTCTGGCGTCGAGGGCGGAAACCAGCGGCTGATACTCCATGTCGAGTGCGTTGAGGATGTACGAGATGAGTTCATCATCCTTCAACGGCTTGCCAGCCGCGGCGAGCTCGTCGGCGAGTCCCCGCATGTACGCGAAGAAGGTAGCCACCGATTGCGTCCCCTTCTGCGCATTTGTGAGGGCAGCTCGGATGTTGTTGACGCGGGACAGGGACGTCGACGAGAACATGCTCGCCAACGCTGTCCAGAGCTCTCGTGCATGCTCGATGGAAGTCACCTGCACTAATACTTCTTTTGACATATTATTGAGAAGATACCCAAGTACCTGCTGGTCCTCTCTGAACCAGACGGCATGGAGGGGATTGGGGATGGCTTCCTCCTTTCCATCCTTGTCCTTGCTGACGACGAGCTTGGCCGGCTCCGCCGTGCTTCCATCAACGTATCCGAAGACTCCAGCCCCTCTCAGCTGTGGCGTGATCTGGGTGCGCCATAAGACGTAGTTGGTGCGGGTGAGGCGCTCGGTGATCTGGCCGGAGAGAGGGGAGGAAGCAGCGGCGGATGAAGCCATGGCAGGAGGCTGCGGTGGAGAGGAGGAACGCTAGATGGGAAGAGTCAGGCTCTGTATACCATGTGGAGGAACGTCGTACCCATCCTGGACGACGGCTACGTGTTAATATAGGCCAGGGCGCAACTCCTGGCATAGCGTACAATGATGTTCAGATTACATTGTGACTTGGAGAGAAAGAGATAAAGAGATAAGAGGAGATTACAACCATATGATAACTAACTAGAGATCCTAGTCTATCTTGGCTTGGACTCTTCCACCGATGCAACCTGAACATGGGTAACGGTGCGGTGCAACATGTGTCGTTCAACAAGTACAAGGAAGCATGTGCATAATTACCACTCCTGATTAGATTAACTGCTTTTCTCTGGCAAAATGTACAGACAAAATCAATTGCCTCTTATATGGCGATTCAGTGGGACTACATCCAGCGCGTCAGGACAGTACACATTCAGTTGCTGCCGTCAGGATTGCTACCAAAGAATTTATCAGCACTGCAGTGTGCTCAAGGATTCGTGATGCAGTGCTGCATTTTGCCATCAACCACAAGCCACCTGGAGAGACTCTGTCACATGAACACCTTGAGAGATGCTCCCATCTTGTGCTCCAGATTTTCAACAAACTTGACAATGGCTCCACCTCTCTGTAGTCTGAATTCATGGGCATGCTCCTAGCTGCAGAGCAAGAGCAGTCAAAAATGACTGTCCACAAATCAACCACGCCTGCAGCAACACTTTGTTGTCCTTGTCATGACTTCTGAAGGTTATATCACAGCAAAAACTCTATACGTAATGGACCCCATGCTGGCAAACTCACCAAGGAGTACAATAGAGAAGAAACACATAGACACAAGTCTGCGCATTCTACGTGCCCTCTTTCAGTGCCTTCATGAGTGTTATCCAGATTGGCATTTTGCTACTTCCCCATGGACTTACAAGTATAACAAAGCCTGGCATCGGAACTGCACCATGTAAGCTTGTCCAAAACAGAACTTATGAAACTCAAAATTTTGATACATTCATCTGTGTGCAAAAAACTGATGATTTAGTACCTACTAAAAAAAGCAGTTCTGAGAGCGGTTTCTACGTACTACACTACATCAGAGTCAGAGAGTTCGATGGTCTGAAGCTGATAACACTGCCAACCTAGTAAGTTGGCAAACCTCTTCAGTACTATTGAGATCACAAACATGCAGTTACTAACAGACATGTTCCCTCCAGGGTTTGATTTCATACCTAAGGATGCAGATGGCGTACGAAATTGTCAGGATGAAAGGCAACAATGCCGACTTCCCAAACTACATGTATGATTGCGACACTTGTAGAAGCGGTCGCCGGCGAACTGGCCGCGAAGTCCGGGCAGTGGACTAAAGGCAGAGCCACCGCATCTGCATCTTGGTTGGTGTTGGCCATGAACTGCAACTAGGGTTCCTCGCTCGATGTGGGGGGAGTCGAGTAGACATGCCTGTGTGGACCCCACATACGCCGTTTCCTACCATCAAACGGGGCTGCGGCTCATAAAAGGCAAGACGAACGTCAACTTAATTGCGCCGTCACAACCCAAACGGCCGTCCAGTGACGACCTCGGTATATTGATAGGTTGTACTACTGCATACATCTACTCTACCACATACGGCCCACATCCCGGTAAATATTGAACGATTCGTGATACCAGGAGCGTGCGCGCTCGTCCGCGCCAAGCAATATTCGAGTCATTGGCATTTTATTTCGGCAATAAAGCAGTTTCGATCGAAAGTAGCGACTAGCGACTGTCAAATTACATGATTTCCTCCTGGGTTTCCTCAGCTTCTGCATTCTGATGCTACTCAGTGTAACACTGTACATTGCAATGCGCGTAACTTACATAACGACACATCTAGCTGCTAGCCCTTTCTGCTCCACTCTCTGATCATCGGTGCCTGCAGAGAAAAATCAGAGTAGGTTTAGAATCTGCTGTGGTATGCAGGAAAAATTCACCAGCACCGGAAAAATGAAAACTGCATTAGCTTCTAGTAGAAATTAAGAACTCCTTGCAGCTAGAATCACTTCAGGGAAGAGAATGGGCTTTGTGGCTTGACAAGCTACTCTTGGCAAGAATTTTGGCAAGTCAAGATTGATTCATTTAAGTAGATCTCAGCCACACACTGAATCAGTGAAAAGCACAACTACCTTCATGAGGCTGGTGGAGCCTGCGGTTCTGAGGGGTTGACATCTCCTTTTTAAGGCTGATGAGGATGTCCTCCATTGTATGTTCCCTTTTCCAGTTTCCAAGCATAGGAAATCGTCTTGGATCAACCTAGAAAAATAGCTCACTGTAAGTACTAAGGCAAACATCACATCAACAACTTCACCACAAGTTTTTTTTTTTTTGCACAATTACCATTCCAGTTTCTTGATTCACACATGTCATATTGACCCTAGCCTGGAACCGGACAGTCGGTGGTTTGTCTGGATAATCTGTATCACAGAACAACTTCAATTGATAGATTCGTCCCTCGTGAACAGTCTGCGAGACAAAAAATAAATAAATGCAGTAATCAGTTGGCTCGAGCGTAAGGAAGCAAAAGACAATTAATATCTACTCATGGGTATTGCACAACATACATTGGGTGGACCAATAATAGTTCCTGTCCAGGAGCGCATATATATGTCATCAGCATCATCCATCCCATAGCTCACAGTTCCATCACCAATGCCCTTCTCACCTCTCTCAAGTTCTTCCAAAAGTCTAAAGTTTCTGGGAACTGAAGTACAGATAACAGTTAGTACAACGGTACATGCAATAAATTATTATGAGCAGCTCATTCAAGCAGAATAAAACATGAATCCAGTCACATCATTCTAAATTCTAATGGTAGAAACTGAAGGAAAAGCAAAATTCCCTAATTTATTAGGATACTTATAGTTTTAAAACAGTACACTTATAATTTTTAAAGATGTTTTCAATGTCATAAAATTGGAGTGTACTCCCTCCGTAAACTAATATAAGAGCGTTTAGATCACTAAAGTGATCTAAACGCTCTTATATTAGTTTACAGAGGGAGTAGTAGCTAAGTTAACAGTTGTAGTATTAACATAGCTATCCATTTAAATAGCAGAAAAGGGTGATGTTTAAGGGACACAATGTTGTGTGCCTAGATCATAGACAACATACTGAAACAAAACAGAAGAGTATAGAGCCACAACTCGCAGCATTAACCCTAGGATTGCGCAAGACCTGCTTAATAACTGCAATCAAGCACAGGCAACAATATCTAGAGGTACTAAAGACGCACAACAAGCCAATACTTGTTTCAATATTGGCATATTTGCCTATGGCAGTATTCATCTCATAAGAGGTTATTAAAGTTGCATAACAGTAATGCTTTGCATTTTAGACCAATGTAGAAGACCTTAGTTTCAACTTGTAAGCAGGTTGCAGATGGTCCATGTTGTTTAGAAAAGTAGTGTCTTGCCCCATGAATGGAGATTAAGGACTGCGTGCAAAATCGGCTATAAGTTACAAGTGAATGTTAGTTGTCAAGTCTTCCAATTTTCAAGATTGGCTTGATAGGCGTGACTGTCCTAGCTGAAGCATCTAGTATAAACTGACTTATTGGCCTTTTAACTTGTAGCGCCCAAAAGGCAAGGCTCTTAGTGGACAGGGCCTTTTGGTATATCAAATAAAATCCCGAGGAGAGCAACCTGTTAAGCAGCGCCGACTTTAAGTATTTAGTTCTTCAATGGCAGGATATACTCTTAATAGATGGATAGCTCTTCACGAGTTGTGTCTTTGCAAGACGAGTATGGGTTATGGTTTCATCCTGGCAAAATCAGATGTTCGTCCCATTCCAGTGATCACGTTCTAGGGTTGGTAATGGACCTAATGGTTCGATCATTGAGACACTTATTTTGGGACAGAGGGAGTAGAAGAGAGGGACTAGGATCAGATCTCTCTAGTTAATAATCCTCATTGGATAATATATATGGCATCACTTTAATATAGACGAATTTCTGAGTCCTTAAGCGACATATCTCAACTAACTGGAGACCTATCTTATATCCAAGGGAATTGTCCTTATCTTTTATAAGTTTATAACCTTCCTTATCTATAAGTGACCATCCAAGTTACTGTTTTATTCGGCTAGATGATGGGCCTACGCCTGACACAGCTGGTTACAAGCAGCATATCAAGTATAACAGATTAGTAGGAATCAACATGAAAAGGGTAATGCCAGTTAGGAACAAACTGATCATATAGTTGGAACACATTTTTATCAACAAGGCTTTCGTGTGAAGCAGTGTATGATCACATCAAAATAAGACACTATACTTAGGCTGAGTGCCCTGAGGATGAATGCCTTCCTTAGATCGGTTATTGTCAGTGTTTCTAAGTGGAAAGGAAGGACAGATATACCCACCATCCAATATAACTCCTAGGAGTACTCTAGTACTCTTGGCATTTAATTTGCTTCAAAATTCTCAAACCCTTCTTTAGGTTTTGGCTGCTCATGGCATGCCAGTCACAAACAACTAATGCCGGTGGGTTACAGGAATAAACACATCTTCATGCTTGTTCTAACACCACTAGTTTAGCTACACATAGGGATCCAAAATTGCATTATTGTTCCATAAAAACATGCCCTGAGAGTGAGTTGTGAGTCTAAACGGGCAGCACAGAAGTATTGATCGGAGTTCTTGGTAGAGACAATGACATGTAAGAATACAAATGCCCATATCATAGAAATGCCCCGGATACCATAGAGCTGACAGAAAAATTCAACCTAAGATTATTAATCATAATGTGAACCTAATCAACAGACAACGATTCGCAAGACAAGATAAACTGTGACCGGCCAACAAATCGAGCCGGTCCCCCCCCTAAATGCATACCGGTCCATCCATCCAAAACTGTGCCAATAATTGAGGACTTCATCAATTCCTGGGGTTAGGCATAAAGGACCAAACCGCTCACCAAACATCACACCAGCAGACAACACGGTGAATTCGGCCTCACCAACAGCCCTCGACGGTTCCTCGGACCGACATCCAGCCCATCATCCTGATAGCCCCATCCAAAATTAACCCAACATAGCAGCATTCCATCTTCGCTACAGCCCCACCATGGAGGTATATGCTAATAATACCTGCGAAACCTGCCTTTGCTCGGGAGTTTCTTGACTGAATGTCCACACGGATGTCTGAACTGCGAAGGCAGATTTCACAGGGCATCATTCAGAAGGGATTCGGGATCGCCGGCAGATCCCACCCCCTCAGATCAATCGCCAAACGCCGAACCTAATCCAGCAATCCCTCCTACGCTCCCTCCCCGGTCACTCGAATCACCAGGCCCTAAAAAATCCCACCAAGAATCCAAGAACTCGTACCCCACGGCCACGAAGATCCCGCGGCGGCAGAACGGGTCCTGCAGGAGGCGGTTCGTACAAATCGCGGCAAAGAAACGGCGAGCGGGTGGAGAGGCCGACTCACCGACGACCGGCGCGGATCCCTCGGAGCCCATGGCGAGCCCGTCTTCCACCTCCAGCTTCGGCCGCCTCTCCTCCTGCCCCCCTGAGCTGCGCTGGATGGATTCCGCGGTGGCTGAGCCGCGAGGACAAGGAATATCCGAAGCCCCGCGTGAAGCAAAGAAAGCCTTTTTCCGGCTCAGCGGGGGGAGAAAAAGGAGGAGAGATGCGCTTCCGCACAGTACTGGACTGGGGCCGGAGGAAGGAGCCCAAGTTGCCAAGTGATAAATAGGGATAATGACTCGGCTGCCGGCAAGCAATTTCCTTGCCACCCCCATCTTTTTTTGTTTGCCTCAATTTTTCCTAACATGGAGATAATTGACCATTTATATTTAATCTATGGGAAATCGGGCGAAAACCCATGCAGACACGTCCACGATACGTGTCGGTCATGGGACATGGTGGCGCACAAGGCATCCTCGGTCTGGCTATAGATAGTGGAATCCACGCACTGCGGAAAAGAGAGCAACCGGCGAGGATGACTACAAGCGTCATCTTATCGCACATCGCCCTCGAAACAGCGATTCCGACTTTTCGCCACGGACCAACGGCCACCACCATCTTATGACGTGTTAGTATTTGGTTAATAGCCGGGTGTATTGAAGAGAAACCGGCCATCCTTTTCTCGGCAAAGTTTGGCAAATATATCAATGCACGACAGGCGAAACATAACGACAAGAAGGTGTGACGACACAGCGAGACAACCAGTTTGTTATAACTAGCTGTTACTTATGTGGCAAAGTTTTTAACTTTTTTCTCCAACTTTTTTCTATTAATTAATTAAGACAAACAGAATTGCCAATTTAATATATGGAAAATCGGGCGAAAACCAATATAGACACGTCCACAATACTGTTTGTCATGGAACATGATAGCACACAAGGCATCCTTGGTCTAGCTATTGATAGTGGGCTCCACACACCACCATGAAGGGAGCAATCGACGAGGCTAACTACAAGTATCATCTTATCGCCCATTGCCCTCAATTCAGTGACTCTGACTTTTCGGCACGGACGAACGTCCAACACCATCTTATCACATATTAGTATTTGGTTAATAGCCGAATGCATTGAAGAGAGATTGGTTATCCTTTCTTGGCAAAGTTTGGCAAATATATCAATGCATGACAGGTAAACATAACGACAAGAAGGTGTGACGCCACGGTCACGTTAGCGAGACAACCTAAGTAGTTGTCACTTATGTGGCAAAGTTTTTAACTTCTTTTCTTGAACATTTTTCTATTAATTAATTATGACAAAGAGAATTGCGAATTTAATCTATGAAAAATCAGGCGAAAACCGATACAGACAAGTCCACAACACATGTTTGTTCTACAACACATGTTTGTCATGGAACATGAATACATGATAGCACACAAGTCATCCTCGTTCTAGCTATTGATAATAGACTCCACACACCGATGAGAAGGGAGCAATCGACGAGGCTAACTACAAGCATCCTCTTATCGCCCTCGCCCTCGAAAACATCGATTCTGACTTTTCGCCACGGACAAACGACCACCGCCATCTTATGACAATATTATTATTTGGTTAATAGCCGGATACATTGAAGAGAGATCGGTCATCCTTTTTTAGCAAAGTTTGGCAAATACATCAATGCATGACAGGTAAAACATAACGACGAGAAGGTGTGACGACACGATCTTGGTAGCGAGACAACCAATTTGTTATAAACGACTGTCACTTATGTGGCAAAGTTTTTAACCTTTGTCCATGAATCGGGCATACTTAATTTGTGTTTCTTAGGCGAGTTATAACAATAGTTGCTCGGATCACTTTTGTGTAACATGTTGTTTTGTTATTTTTGTTTTTATTGATTACTGAATCTAAAGAATAGGAATTTCAAAGTAGCCCCTGAGAGATTCTTTTGAGAGAAAATGTGTGCAAAAGCCCATATGCAGTTATTATGATGTGTAATGTTGCCGGCGTGTATATGCTACATACCTAAGGGCATATACAATGATGCTATCTTAGCAGTGTCACATAGGATAAATATTCAGGTGGAGAAAAGAGAACCCAGAAAAAAGGCTTTGTTTTCTCTTAATTAAAAGATGATCTCTTAATAACAAATCTCTCCTCACATTCACATTTTTAAGAATACCTAGTTACTACTAAGATGAAGAGACAACTCATTGTACATTTTAGGTCATCTCTAGATTACATGGCAGGACTAAGATTAGACTATCTTATCAACCACTGCACATGCCCTAATTAGCTAGCCGGGTTGAACTCGTCTTATCAGTTTTTGGCTGGTTTTTCTCAATAACTAATAATGTTTTTCTCTATTGTCGCTTAAACAACCAATAGCAATGGAAACTAAAGGATAGCCTCCTCAAAAGTCACTCATCCTCTCCCCCCTTTTCACCCAAATCTTGAAACAAACATTAAAGAAACAAGGGCGATAGAAAAAAAATTATAGGCATTTCATTTCGTCAAACAAAATAAAATAAAATAGGTACATGTGTATGTCGTATCTTCTCCAATTGTTTCGTTTTCAAAGGGTTGGTGGCCGGTCATGACTGGTAGATATGCTCGTTGCCATTCATCAATTCCCGCGAAAATCCTCATGATTCCGGATAATTTTTAATCGGATACGTAATCCCTAAAAAAAGATCCTACGGGACCACTCGCACAAGTGACGAGCACAGAGAGAATCAAGAAACATTAAGGACCAGATCTTTGATGGATGACCTAACATGGACCATATGTCTCATTGTAGTCTGCCATAAAATTTCTGCTCCCTGGATACCATGTTCTCACGGAAGTTGCTGGTAAAAGAACATCAGTAAAAATGTCTTCACTGAATTTTGTACCTCTGGGCAATGGTAGATTTTACATGTGAAATTTCACAAATTACCGGCATTTACACAAATGTGGTTACTACCTTTTCAGGTTTCTACTACTGTTCGCACCAGAAAACCATGATGAGATCTCGTCGTCGTCGTCCTCGGACTCGAGCATCTCCATGCTTCTGGGAACACGAGGGGAGGGGCGATTACTTTCTTCTGATGCCTCTCCTGGAAGCCCCTGGTTCCCCCTGGACATCTCCTCCTTCCATTTTTCCCTCTCCAAAGGTTCTTGGGAAGTAGCGCTCCTGCCCCCGACAATGGGGAAACTGTCGAGGAATTTGTAGTCCCTGTGCATTGGGAGCATGCTGTTCTCATTGTCGTCGTCGTCATCGTTCCCTGCCTCCTCCGAGCTCCAGAAATCTGAATCTTCATCAGATAGTGGAGCCCTCTTTTGCACAAGTTGTCGCTTTCGCAATGTCGGCTGGATGCCATCTTGAACGAATGAAATAGCGGGGTGCTTATTCTGCTCCAGATCGCGGTGTGGTTCGATGGTGTCTTGGTCGTTTAATGCTTTTGGTCTTTTCCAACCACATTTCAAGCAGAATGCATTCCTCTTGAAGTTCAGATAGTTACACCTGCCATCAATCACTCAATAATATTATTATGCTGATTCTATGGTAGTAGAGTACAGAGCAAAATAACAATGCGGAAAGGTTAACCAAATCGTTAACACCACTTTCCCCGTGTTCTGTCTCATATTGACATTAGACATCAAAACAGTGCAAATATACAATGGTGTGCAGTAAGAATAGTCACTCACGAAGGACACTCCCATTCGCCCGGACTGAGTAAACGGTTTGTTGGTTTGTCATGACACTGCAAGCATCGTGTGTTCTTTGCGAAATTCAAAAAGTTGCACCTGAAAATGTAGGATCAGTACAGGCGAGAGGGTACCCCCAGTCCAATATAAACTGGACTTATTGGCATTCTCACCTTTTGCATATCCAATCACCTTTTTTGAGGGGTAGATGATCTTGGTCCTCATGCATTAAGTGATATCTCTCTTGAAATTCGCCATCGCAGCGCAAACATTTGATATTCTTTGCAAAGTTAAGAAAGTTGCATCTGAAAATATACACGTGGTATTATTCTTTTTGAAGAAATAATAGATTACATCATGTGGATAAGTGATACGAGGTAAAAAAAATCCAACATACTTGGGACAATTCCAGTCACCCTGCTTCACGGGTACAGCAGATTGACCTTTTGACATGCGTTGTGCAGCTTTATCAGTTGTGGAACCAGGCCCCTTGGAATCGAGCTCGACAACCTCATTCAGTAGTTTCTTAATGGATTCTTTAACAGTTTTGTTTAGGCATGCTTTGTTCCCCACATTACCAGTAATGATATCAAGACCATAAGTCAGGAGGATGCGCATAACATCCACAGTTCTGCCCACTTCCTCTTTACGAGCCCTGACATATGCCCTCTCACAACTTCCCCTTAAATTGCATTGGCTGCAAACCTGTCACTCTGTCAGCATAAGGTGATGAGGCAGATATACTATATATACTACATAGATGTATGTCATGGACTTAAAGCAATCCAAATTGTCACATGTAGGCGAAAATACTAAAACTACAATATACAGATTGAGGGCTAACCACAGGAGAAGGCATAGTTAGACCATGTACTCCCTCCGTCCGAAAATACTTGTCATCAAAATGGATGAAAAAAGATGTCTATAGAACTAAAATACATCTAGATACATCCCCTTTTATCTAGTTTGATGACAAGTATTTCCGGACGGAGGGAGTACGATGTAAGGTGCCTGGAGAGGTGCTTAGTAAAATAAACCAAGTTTTTCTTAAGCACCAGTGCTTATCTCTATGGCAGGGTTGCCTAATTAAACATCTGCCATCTACAAATAAGCACCAGTGCTTCAGCAAAAAACGGTCTATTTCTCTAAGCACTTTGCATTGTACATGGTCTTAAAGGCAAGGAAAGTGAACATCGTCTGCAGCATGGCAAGCAAACTGAACATTGTCTTTTGCAGAGGTATACGGAATGGATTGGTTGAAAGCAAAATATCCTAAGTTTTATGTTAAATAGTACTCCCTCCGTCTCATAATATAAGAGCGTTTTTGACACTACACTCTAGTGTAAAAAACGCTCTTATATTATGGGACAGAGGGAGTAGTTACCAAAAAAATGGAAATGTCAATAACTCATAATATTTCCTAGTTTGCAGCACAACATGTTTTAGCTTTTAGGTTGAATTCTAAATTGCTAACACAAAACATGGTTTCTCAAGCTCATACACGCTGATTGAGTAAGGCAAGGCTAATGAAGAGGGCAAACTGTTAACTACTTCAGTCCCCAGCTTGTATTTGTAGTTAAGATTTGCATGGTGCTTTTTATAAGCAAGCAGATTAAAATACACACTGTTACATCATTATTATTATCTGAAATACAAAACATCATGAACTTTGCTGAGCCTAAGAGGTAAGATAGTTTGCACACACACAGCTTTCACATATTTTCCTGTGTTTTAACAGTTTGGGTGTTTGAATCTATTGGTTAAGAAAACGTTTTTCTGGTTCAGTTTTTCTCCAGAACATTTATACAAATGGGTAAGTTCAAAACTGAAGTGAAATAGAAAAGGAAGGTAAATAAAGAGAAATTTCTCTGCACACATTTTCATGCACCTACCTCTCCTTCATCAAGTCCTACATGCGCACGCAGTCGCTTCCCAGAATTAATAACTTTCCTGTCAATGCTAGGGCACCCACCACGCAGAGCGACCTGAATATCCCATCTTGACAGATACCTGCAACAGAAGAGTTCCGACATTACATGCACGACACAGGGATATGTAACGCACGGCATCCTGGTACTTCAGTGTGGGAAGTGGTGACTGGTGAGGCCAATAATGACACCGCTGCTATACAAGCAGAAATCCTGTCCTGAAATTGCTTATATTGACTGACACATCTTTCTCCAGTTCTGGAACATGTTGAGCACCCTGTATATTTTTGTTCAGAAGTTTTGTTGAGTTTATTTTAAATTATCTAGCAATACTTTGCTCAACTTGCTCAAACAACCATAGTAGTTTACACTGACTATCCCCAAAAAGTCACGATTAGGTAGCGGTGCTCTGGAGTCTGGAGATTTCTACCAAGATTGAAGACAGCATATCAGCAGTTTGGCATAGTTTAGGGGCATATAAACATCATTGCATTTGTTAGGCAAACTGCTGCGACAAAGCCAACATATTCCCATCCAGGAGATGGGGGCAGCCACCCTGCCTGCAATCTGCACTGCAGTGCCCAACACGGAAGGCAACGCAAACTGCTGGCACAGCACATTTCAGCAAACATCTGGCGTGCAGCTAAACAATGGCGGCAAACACCGACAACGGCATCGAGACACGCAGTCCCAGTACAAGAACCCACATAGACACACAAACAGTATTCTTCCAGGCTCAGCCACCTCACCTGACGATCTCCGGGCGCTCGCGCCCGAAGCGGAGGCAGGCGGTGCGGACGAGGTTGGAGTCCTTGGACGGCGCGGCGCCGGCGAAGGCGGAGGGGTCGAGGTGGCCCTTGTGGAGGAGGAACTCCATCAGCGCCACCCACTCCGGCCACGGGTGGGCGATGTCCACGGCCACGGGCTTGTCCCCCGCGCGAGCGCCGCCGCTTCCTGGCTCTTGGGTTACTTGCCATTGCTCCCGGGACGGCGGTTGTGCTGGTGCGCGGGAGAGGTCTAGGTCTTCGAGCTCCGAGCGGAGGAAGGCGAGCCGCCGGTCCGGTGGCGGAGGCGGGCGCTGGCTGCAGAACCGCCGGAGTGCAGTGGCCGCGGCAGCGGCGGTGAGGCGGCGGTGCATCTCTTGCAAGAGCCCGGTTTCAGTTTGCCCCGCCGAACCCAGTATTTTTTTTTTGAGGGGCGCCGACCCCAGTAGCCTCAGGAGCTGCCAGGCCAGGCCCGAACTTGGACTATTACATCATTTTTGGCCCAGCAAGTGCAGTTTTAGTTTTAGTTTTTTTAAAAAAAAAACAGCCAGAGCAGATGCTGATCTTGCCATTTCTGATTTCAACTTGTAACAGGCTCCATGAACTTCATTTCAGTATGGCAAGATCTTATCGCAAAAGGATGTGTTATCCGAGTGCACACGTGTGGTGGTGTTTTTTCTTCTCTTGTGATAATCAAGCGGGTAGCGTCGGCATAGGGGTTGAGTGAGACGTGTCTCTCTAGAAGAATTATGTTGAGTTCAATAGTACCAGCCATGAAATTTCATGAAATCTTCGACATCTTTGGCCACTCGATTATGTTGTAACAGCTTCATATTATAAAATGTTACTCATACCATTTTTACGACGACATTCACTTTTATTTTCTTGACTGAAGAAGCACCAATGATTCCAAAAGCATAGATTCTACAGCACAAGTGCACACAACTGACGTTTTACAAACAACAGAGAACATACAAGGATAAGCTCAAAGCTCATCCATCCGCTACATGTGAGAGACGCAGAATCCTTGCTTCGATCTTCAGCGAAGGTCACTCTGGGAACATCTGGGAGAAGGTTTTGGTAGCTCCACATTCTTCAGCAACAGACTCTAAGCTGTCTACCATCTAAACCGTCAACGAAACAAAAGATCCAGAGCAACCATCAATCATCCCTAAAATCACTGAAGAAGTGAGCAAGCGGGGAACTCCAGGCAGGCGTACGTCGTTGTCAGAATGATCCGCGGCTCTTCAGCTGGTCCATGAGAAGGTGTGCGACCGACGCATATCCTTGCTCACGCGCTGTTGCGATGCCGAATGGAGTGAAAAACAGGTCAGATCAACTGTGGGTATAATCTGCGTGAACATACTGCTGAAGTTGCACCTTGGAGCCACCAGAATTACCTTGGAATATGGCGATCCCGGTTGGTGCTATCTTCCTCTTCTTCAAGCAGATGGAGCTGCATAATTTTCATGACAAATTGAGCGTGGCAGAGAGCATACACATAGCCATACGTGCAAACATAAAGACGCTCTTTCGATGCAAGATATCCACATCTTGGCAGTGCCATTTACACATTTCAATTTGTGAGTGCTAGAACCAAAGATCAAGCTTGCAAGTTCACTCACCTGTTGCATATCCAGAATTTCTTGGTACCCTTCTCCTCAACACAGTGAGGGCACATCCACTTCTTGTTCTTCCTGACCTCTTCCATCTCTGCCACCACGTCTCAAATTCAGTACTCTTACAAATATTATCCACCAAGAATAGTATAGATGCCACTGAACTTACCTTCACCGTACCTAACTTTAAGGCAAGCACGGCAGAGGATCCCATAGGAGGAATGGCAAGAGGAGCACTCCGTCTTCCCTGTCATCAGAGAACAAAGATCGGTCAAATGAATGCGAATTTGCTACATTGAAGAACTAGCTGCTGCTCCATACAAATGAACAAGAAAAAGAAAAGGATTTGTAGCTTCGCTTGTACCTATGCATTGCTGCTCAAAGTCTCCTTCCCCACAGCGCTTGCAGCCCTCCTCGCCGCAGAGTTTCTTCTGCCTATGACCACACGGCGGCAACCATACTTAGTGAACTAACCTCAGAACACAATCAGGATTTACAGGATGCGGATCTACCTGCAGAAATGGCAGCAGATCCCGAGAACGGGGTCGTACACGGACCCCCTCGCCTTGCTGTCGCACCGCGTCTCCTGCAGCACCCGCAGCCTCTCCTTGTCGATGTACATGGGACACTTCTCCTCCTGCTCCTCTTCCTCGGCGTCCGCTCCTGCGGGACGACAAGAGAAACTCAGTTCCGGCGCCGGCCCGCAGAACAGGGCCACGGAAAAGCAGGGCGTGCGGATGCGGAGGCGGGGGAAGGGGGCCAACCTCTGTAGGGCAGCGCCTTGTGCTGCACGGAGTCCCCGTTGAGCCGCGCGGAGCGGCGAGAGCCGGAGCCGGGCGGCGTCGCGGCGGCAATCAGGCGGCCCGAGCGGCGGAGCGGGGTGAGGACCCGCGGCGGCTTCGGGGTCTTCCTCGGGGTGACGCTCCCGGCGCGGGGGGAGGGGGCGGAGGAGATGGCGCTCAGCTCCCCGGCGCAGCGGCGCAGGCCGAGCATCTCCATCCGGGCCTGCACGGGTCACCGGATCCCAAACATCGGTGGCGGTCAGTGCCGCGAGGAATGGCGAATCTGGACGGAATCTCGAGATTGGGGGGATGGATGGATGGATGGATGGATGCTTGCGCGTACCATGTTCTCCGAGATGCGGGCCTCGCGGATGCTCTCATAGTCGGACTTGTCGCCCAGCCTTCCCATGGCGGCGGCGGCGGCGGGTTTCGGGGATTGGCTGCGGCGCTGTTGGGCGTGGTAGGTTTGGGGCAAGGGGCGCTGGCGACGGCTGCGTTTGAAATTTGAGGGGTTGGGGAGGCCGGGAGGGTAGTTTTACCGGTTTGCCCTCACGCGCGCTGTTGCAAGTCTAGCAAATCTGGATATTCTTGGTAGATGTAGAATTCGGGTGGCGTGATGAGAAAGTGGCAGTGTGGCTCCCGGCTGTGTGAAATGGCAAAATTTTGAAAAGAATGCAACGGAGACGTTGGTTGAACCGGAACGATGCACCACTTGTCTGAAATGGCAATGAATCTACCAATAAGAGCAATTTCAACGGGCCGACCCAAATGGACGATGATTTCGTCCGCTTTTTGTCCGGTTGGATCGGCCAGGCGGACACGGACGTTCGCTTCCGCGTTTGGGTTGGCGTATACGCCCAACGCGCGCCCGACCCATTTTGACGACGCCGACAAAAAAAACTGTGCATGCACATTTCAACTGAAAATAACTTAATTAAACATTAAAGCCGGCCAGGAAGGCCGGCGAGAGTCCACACGTCCACATTAGCATAAAAAAGAAATTAAAAAAAACTAACTACGAGGCGGCGCGCTACCCTAGGCGTCGTCGTCGTCGTCTTCGAGGTCGGTGAGGTTGATGAGCGTCGACGGAGGGCCGGCCCAGGGGAACGTCGTGGCCCATGCGGCGGCGACGTAGTCCGGGGGTAGCTGTTCCGGCGGGGGTAGTGCCGGCGCGGGGGGCTGTGCCGCCGCCTGTGCAGCCGCGGCCTGGCGCGCCTCCTCCTTAGCCTCGCGCGCCTCCTCCTCGAGGTCGCGCTCGAGCATCTCCTCGTACTCGCCTTGACGCTGCTCCTCGGCCAGTCGTCGCTGGCGCCAGTGCTCGAGGTAGGCCGCCTCCTGCGTCGGGGTCGCCTCCATCCAAACCGGTGGCGCGGACACCCACTCGCGCACCACTCCCCTCCAGGAGAAGCTCGCGATGGAGCCCGGCGGCGGCTCCGGCTGCGGCTGCGGGTCGGCCTTGACGAGGCGTCGGGGAGGGGACGGCGGGGCCACCGGCGGCACCACGCAGTCGCCGGCCGCGGAGAGGGCCATGGCCTACGCCATGGCCGCCTGGTAGCGAGCTTCTTCTTCTTTTGCCGCCTCTGCCCTGCGCCGCTCGTCCTCCTCGCTCTCCCGGTAGACAGCCGCAAGGGCCGCGCCGCCTCGCCTCCTCGTGCTCGAAGGCGAACCAGCGCGCCCAGTTGGGCGAGTCGAATGCGTAAGCCTCGTCGCGGCGCTGCTCCGGCGTCAGGAGCACCCGCCGGCGATGCACCTCCTCCGCATGCGCCCTAGCCGACCGCGGCGCCGCCGGCACTGGGATCCTTTCCGGATCCAGATGCTAGTCGTGCGACAGCGTCACATCGGGGTACGGCAGTGGCACGTAGTGGCGCTAGTGCCACTCCACCTGGTGCACTGGCACGTTCACCCGCTGCCTCTGCCGGCGAGCCGGCGCAGGCGGAGGCGGGGTGAACTCCGCGGGGAAGGGGACGACGGGGGCCTTGCCGTTCGACTTGATGCTGCTGCTGCCGGAGAAGAGCCCCATTTGGGCGGCTGGGGTGGCTAGGGTGGCTTTGGTGGTTGGGGTGGCTAGGGTTTTCTTGCCGGCGAAGGGGGAGCGAGCGTGGCCTAGATGGGGACGGGAAGTGGATGAGGACGGCCCCGCCAGACGGTCGGCTTAAAAAAGGATGATACGTCCATTTTGCATCATGCTTTTATATCAATATTTATTGCATTATGGGCTGTTACTACACATTATATCTCATTACTTATGGCTATTCTCTCTTATTTTACAAGGTTTACCTTGAAGAGGGGGAATGCCGGCAGCTGGAATTCTGGCTGGAAAAGGAGCAAATGTTGGAAACCTATTCCGCACAACTCCAAAAGTCCTGAAACTCCACGAAACAACTTTTTTGAATTAATAAGACTTTCTGAGCAAAAGAAATAGGCCAGGGGGCCCACACAATGTCCAGGAGACAGGGGGCGCCCCCCTATAGGGCGCCCCCCTATCTCCTAGGCCCCCTGGTGGGCCTCTGGCGCCCATCTTCTGCTATATCATCACTTTTACCCTGGAAAAAGTCATGGGCAAGCTTACGGAACGAAACTCCGCCGCCACAAGGCGGAACCTTGGTGGAACCAATCTAGGGCTCTGGCAGAGCTGTTCTGCCGGGGACACTTCTCTCCGGGGGGGGGGGGAATCATCACCAACGTCATCAACCAACGATCCTCTCATCGGGAGGGGGTCAATCTCCATCAACATCTTCACCAGCACCATCTCCTCTCAAACCCTAGTTCATCGCTTGTATCCAATCTTGTATCTAAAACCACAAATTGGTACCTGTGGGTTGCTAGTAGTGTTGATTACTCCCTGTAGTTGATACTTATTGGTTTACTTGGTGGAAGATCATATGTTCATATCCTTGATGCATATTATTACACCTCTGATTATGAACATGAATATGCTTTGTGAGTAGTTACGTTTGTTCCTGAGGACATGGG